TTAAATATTCTTAAGGATCTATATTAGAAATAAGGTTAGATACAAAACTAGGAATAAAGTAATATTTAGATTGTTTAAAAAGTTGTGTTGGTAAGATTAAAGTGTCCATTGTCTTACCTCTAGATATATATTCCAACAACTGTGTCTTATTAAAGTTTTGAATATAATCCTAACAGTTGTAGAATATCTTAGAAGTTTAAAGATTCTTCTAAGTAAACATTTAAAGAAGAAATTGGATGATTATAGAAGACCATGGAAGCTCCTTTAAGCCTTTGGAAGGTTATAAAATGTTCTAAAGATTCATAAAAATTCACAAAAAACAATGTAATTGTATTTAAATTTCTAAAAACTTATTGTGGTTATATTTTATTGTATATCTATGATATAATCTCTTTTTCTACAAAGAACTAGTCCTACAAAGAACTTTAATAGTATGTTTCTTAATATTATCAAAAAATCAAAGTTTTATTAAAAAGGTCTTATAATATTATTTGTTTGAGCTTTTGTCAATGAATCAAAAATAATTTAATAATTTCTTATTTTATAAGTTTAATGTTGCATTACAAATAGCAATATTTTTACTTTTCTAATAGTTTAAAAATAAAAAAAATAAAAAAAATAAAAAAATCACTATGGTCCTTTGGTTTCATAAGACATTTGTCTAGTTGTATAGAATAGGTAAAATACAAAAATATGAAAAATGGTGATTTTGTATGAAAGATGATAAACCACTCCTTCTGAATTCTGAATTAAAATTATCTCTATATTATGGTTATAATTCTTTTATTATTCACTTCTTCTTGTATTATTATATGTTTGTTTGTTTTTATTTTATTTTAATTATAATTATTTTTATTTTTTTTACTTTTTTAACACCTTGTAAGCACTTACAATAAAATACCTAAGCTAACAAAATATATTATTATTTGTCTTAGTTTGAAGTCAATGTTGGCAATGTCTCATTTATTATGTATAAATAATGTTCAAATAATAATTAACTACTTTGTTGTTGGAGACCCTTGGATTTTTTTTTGCTTAATTTCTTGATATTGTAAGCTATAAGGCAATTATTTTTAAGTAGAAGCCTTGCAAAATCAAATTCTTGGCAAAATGAGATTAATCAATCTGAAATTGAGACAAATTTCTACTAAAATTTTAAGAAAAAAATAGTCCTTTAATAATTTACATTATCCAATTTAAAAGAAGAAATTTTCAGTGTTTAATAACTAAAATCTTATATTATTTGGTGTTGGTTAAGCTTTTTAAGTTTATTCTTTGAAAACGTTGAAAATCAACAAACTTGGAATTGAGATGATTTTTTTGTAATAATTCTTGTAAAGAATGATCTATTGTCTTAGAAATCTAATTATCCAACTTTAAAGAAGTAATTTTTAACATTTGATGAGATATTTTTTAGAAAATTTATTAATATTAAAGTTGCACAATTTAACTTTCTAATGAACTAATATTGATTAAATTTAAAGAAATAAGAAGATATATGTGGTTATTTAAATAAAATAAGGTCCTAAAATTAGTAGCAAGGTTATATGTGAAAGAACACAATCTTGCTTCTATTTACAATTACTTCAATTGACGTATTTCTATTCTACAATTCAATTTGAAATTGATAATAATAAAATAAATATAATTAGTAAATTATTAAATTAAAAATATATTATTTTTTATAAATATCACAATATAAAATTTAAATAATCAAGTAATAATTAATTAAATAATGATAAAAAATAATAATATATAAATATGGAAGAAAATAATTTTTAAATATTATAAAAATATTTAATAAGTCATTACATTATAAAAACTTATAATTAAAATTAAAATTTAGATAAGTAAGTAAATATTTAAATTGAATGATATTACTTTTAATTATATTTATTATTTAAATGTTTAGAATTTTTTTAAGTTATAGTATATTTGAATTTATTATTCTTTCTTTGACTCACCTTTACACATTAAATTAGAAAGATTTAATCTTGTTTTTGACTTAATTATTATTTTTTTTATTAGAATTTTTTATAAAATAACTTAAATAATGTATCAATAATTATATACATAAGAAATTTACTAACAAACATAGACTAAAAATATATATGAATGTCATATGTTTATAATCTATTAAAGAATTATAAATATTTGTAAAATTAAAGTTCACCTTAAAAGTAAATACACTTCAAGTTACAAAATGGTCTCATGTCACAAATATACATAATTATTTACATAAGAATTGTTATGTAGAAGATAAATGTAAGCACATTAGATAATATTTTATGGATGAGCTTCTTAAAAGCTTTATAAATGTAGATTTGACTTTATACATATTTGTAGTTGATTGGTAGGTTGAAAACTTGACCAAAAAAATAGCCATGTAACAAAACCTTCAATAACAATCCCAATGGACAACATTGTAAATACAAAAATCATTTTTAAGAAATGCCTTACAAATGTGATTTATTCAACAAAACATACACTAGAAACCTAAATAACCTATCCAAAAATATAAGACTCATCAAATAATTACTTTTCTATTAAATCACCTTCCAAGACTTTTTTTTATTTATTTGAATTTTTTTGATAGAATAGAATAGTTGTAACACTTTAAAGAATAACATATTACATATCTATCTCTTAGGTTTGTTACCATACAAAGGTTCAAGTTAAGATGTCTAATTCATAAATTATGTTGTTTGAGACAATATCAAGCTTGAAGAAAGCAGTGTGCATGCTACTATTTTTCTTTTTTTTTCTTTTTTCTTTTTTTTGCATCAGTAACATTGTATTATTGAAGTCTAGTGACCACTGTCACATTCCCATTTGTAGTTATTAAATATCTAGTGCATTCTACAAGAAGAATTTGCATTAAAAGTCCATAAAATGATTCTGTACAATTCAACCACAAAATCGTGGGAGAATAGAAAAACCCTCCAGTATGTCCATTCCTGAAATTGTAACTCTTTCTACTGGTATAGCTGCGAGGATTAGGTTGCTGATAATTGCGCAAATATGCTTTTCCATCCTGTAAGTCCGACATGACGATTAGAAATACTTAAGAAACATCGAGTGCTTTCTTTCCCACAAAAGTTGCACCAAAGGATTTGTCATACCACAGGAAAATCACCCTTACCGTTATACTCTCCTTCTATCTGGATTCAAATACACACATGGCAGCCAAGGCACCTGAACCCATCGTCGCAAATGAGAGGGTGTCTGGATCCATAAGGAGAAACCTGCAAGTCCAAACCTTTCGTTGTCGACCTACTCATTAGTAAAATAAAACACTTGGCAGTGGTTGAGCCAAACTCATGATAAAGAAATTTTCAAGATCATCCAACTGCAATGTGCATCGTCTAAATGACAAGAAGAAAATAATACAATGAAATCAACAGAACAAAAATGTTGCCGAATCATATGTGCTCAAGAATACAAAAAAGAAGATTAAAATGATTGCATGCCAGCACACAACAAGCAAAGGAATGATCACAGAGGATTCAGAGTTCTAGTCACAGCGTGCAATCCACTATCATTCATTATGCACATCAAACAAATTATCCAAGTATATAACATCGTGCGTGGTGTGTCAGATATTCAATATTTGCAATTCAGGAAGGAATTGTACCAGAACAGACGAGATTTAAGAGTGGTCAATGCCGTTACAACGTGTGATTCTCGACCAGTGGCATACCGATGCAGTGCCAGCTCGGAACTCACCATATCTACACATCAGGCGAGAAAGCTTATTCGGGAGACTACAATTATAACAACAACAAAGACAACATCAACAACAACTCGCCCTGGCTTAAATTCAAGAATCATGAATCTGTTGTCGAATTGTCTGTGTGAACTCTCGGCCATTGAAACTTCAGCAATCTAGATGAAGTCAAAGCATACACGAAAATGACGCAGAAACCACTCAATGTTATTTCAACACAGTGTGATCCTACAAACAGAAAATTCAAATTTCACAGTATGACTACAATTACATTAATCTCTCAAACTCTAAACAAAAAAATATAAGATGAATATCGACATGGAGTTAAGCGACACCTGTGACATTTTCGGTATCGGTTGCAGTACCGGCTCCGCAACAGAAAATGCTTGGAGCAAGGTAACAAATCTTTTTCACAATTCTTGTCGCAACCGATCTCTCCTGCCGTCACTCACGTATCAGCTCCCAGGATAACTTCATCCTCACGAACACGACACACGGATGTAAGTAACATCGACGAACGAACAAACTCCTCAAAGTACTAAAACAAGGGGAATCAGTACAAGTACCAGTCAATCTGCACGGTAGCCGAGGTTAGAAAGCAAATGAGGCCAACGATGGAGGTTCTCCGTATTCCGGTGCCCGGACAGATTGGCGCCCCCTGCTGCTGCTATAACACGGCGTTGCAACGATACAGATCAAAGCTGAAACCACGCCGTGGGAGGTACATATCAATAACACCGGATTTCGTCATGGTTGGAAAACGAGAGCCGCAAATAAGTCACAAATATAAGTGCGATGCGCTTCTCGCACTGTGCGATTAGTTTCAGTCCAATGAAAGATCGATTGGAATGACAAAGGCCTTTAACTTGTGAAACGATGACACAGTTTTCCCGGGCCATACACCGCTAAAGCAACAAAAAATAATATATCTTGAACCCAGGATCGAAGCCAAAATGTAAAGGGGCTCCGACACCGCCTCCGCCTCCTTCACGGGGACTGTGAGAAATGGGAACCTCATGACCGTGGACAACCCCAAATCCGTCAAAGACCATCTTGATGACATGGACAGTAGTAGTGCAAAAGAACCCCCTTCATGGGTTCAGTGTGAATAGGACTCGGGGGAACATTCTCACCCCCTAGAAACAGCCAAGGCAGAGCTATTACCCCACAGAAAGGAAGCCAAAATTCGTGTAAGAGGAATGGACCCTCCCTCACTAGTTGCAAATTCCATACATGCTTAGAGACCGAGTCCCCTCAATACAATTCTTTAAACTCTACAGGTCCATTATATATAAATATATATATATATATATATACAACCTGCGCCTAGCAAACCACCACCTCAACAACAGAAAGCTTATCTGATATTTGGCCTACTATATTTCATTCGGGAGCCTGTTGACTTCTCAGTTTGCAGTGAGAGGGAGAGGTGGGTATTACAAAACGGGACAGATTCATGCCGCATGGAAGTCATGGATGCTGCCTCCCTGTCCCCGTAGTAGACTCTCCACTATGAATGACTGTTCCAGATACTGTTCTAAGTAGAATTTCAGTGGGACCCAGAACCCAAAACCCTCCTCCTCCTCTCTTCTGTTGTCCAAAGAGTTGGGTCAGAACATGGGGCTTGTTTTGCACGAAACCATGTCCCCGTTACACAGCCAGGGGAACATGAGAGCCACAAACCCAAGCATTTGGCTAATTTTGCTCCTCGTATTTTAGAATGTCAGTGGGACTCGGCGCTGGAAACCCTAAAACGAAAAAGTAGAGAATGACTGGGCTATTTTTTGCTTTATTTGACTATGCTCGCATTCATTCAATTCGACGAATGATATCATTCATAGATGTTTATAAACAGGCTCAGCCCCCCCCCTCCCTCTCCTCCATCCGTTTGTGGATAGATGTTCCCCACACATGTTCCCATGAATAGCACGCTGCGATGGGAAGATCCTAGAAGCAACAAATCCAGTTCTCTTTGCTATGTCCATTCTGGTCCTATATAAAGCCCCTGGCTCTTCTGCTAATTGGCTTATTTGGGCACTAGATAGTTTCTATTTTTTTCACAAGAGGTGGCTCGTTGTAAGAAAGTGGAATCCACACTGTCCCCTCTATTCCAAGCTTTCTCAAATTGGGTTCTAATTTTGTCATACGAATGACTGCACACACACCGTTGAAATCTTCCCTCACCCATTTGCAGAGGTGGGCCTTATTGGTTGCAAATTAATAGCAATGTCTTTTTTAGATTTATCCCACTGCTGCCTCAACCATTTACATTGTTGATATGCGGTTGCAAGGTGATACACACACACAAACTGCATCACACGCAATTTTTCTTGTCCATACCTGAAGATCAATACATGCAAGTTTATAATCCCACATTAAAGCAAGTTCAAAGTTTTATGGTTTCAACACGATTCCCAAAATACTATGATTATTAGGTTATTTATTTGTGAGAGAAAGAGAAAGTCCCACCAAGTAAACAAGGCAGCAGCACTTAGTGAGGATCAAGTAAATTTAGAAATAGAATTGATCATTTCTATGTTGAAACAATTGTAACAAGATTAAAAAGATATATTTATAGATACTACGAGCTCCTCACAGTCCCACTCAATTAGTGAGTGAAAAGAGAAATTTCATCCGTTTTGGAAAGGGATGACACTCAGGAATGAGAATGGATGTGCAAATTGGAATTGCTTCATTTTCTTCTTCTTCTTCTTCTCATTCTGTAATGGGGAGAGAGTGACTCAGCCAAGTAATGCACAAGATATGTTTGTGTTGGCAACCTCTCATATACAATGACAATTTTGCATTTCATTTAAAAAATCATACATTCTTTAAGACGTTTTTACAGTATAGTTGTACACCTGTGAGATGTGTGTAGATATTCCATAATACTACAGATTAATTCTGATCCTCTTTCATAGCTTTGTAGAACAGTGGGCAGCATTAGAAAAATGATGCGAGGCCAGGACAAGGGAACTGGCCCACCCTAGATTTGGTCAGCCACCTCTCTCTCATTCCGAGGCTCTGCTATTCCTCCCCTCTCCCCTCTTTTTTAATTTTTTTTTTTTTTTTTTTTATCTTTATTTGTGCCAAGGCATATAATAGACACGCCCCATGATTTGGTGCTAGATTTTGTGCCTGGGCCTGCATATTAGCTCACCCGTGGGGTTCACCATGGTGCATGCAATTCCCTGTACTAGCCTAGAGTAGAGTTTTGGAGAATTAGGGCTGGTGGAGAGCTTACTGGGTGGTGTTTTGCAATTTGATTAGGGTTACAAGGTTTGCTACAGATAACTACTTCCATTCATGTAAGGATACACCACATGAGAAGAAATATTCAAAACAGGAAATGGGAAACATGGAAGATCATAGACAACTTCAGCCTCTGTTTCACTAGGGTCCATACTTCTGTGTGTGTAGATTGTTCACTGTGGGCTGATGCTTTTTGGGGGTTATTTTGCAATTTCCAATGCAAGAGTTGAGTTGTTTTCAAAAGGATTTTCTTCACATGCAGGGCTCTTTCCAAGTAGCCTACCTCCCATGCTTCTTTAAGAGAGACTCAGGGCAATTGCTACATCATGGTGGCCATGTCATTGGGTTGAGACATTGGTGTTAAGGGGGTATATTTCAGCCACCCACAAAACCCATTGAAAAAACAAAAAAATTCCCATGTTGTTTGAAACCTTGACTCATTGTTGCAGCCACTGCCCCTTATTCCCTTTTGCCTCCTAATAGACAATATGTATGTTATTTGTGCAACTTTTGGGTGGTAATGTAACATATAAAGGAAATACTTTTCATCCTCCAGATTTGAGTGACCTAAAGTGCACAAGGCAATGTATCATTTTCACTTTAAAAGTTAAAAAGGCATTTATCTTGAAATATAAATGAATTATTTTTGGCTTGTTAAATAGCACAAATATGAAAAAATAGCTACAACAAAATTTGTAGCTGTTCAATCCTCAAGCATTAAAGACTGCACCTCTAAAATTGGATGGTTCAAATTGTTGTGACTATTATTTACTCGAAATATTGCCAAAATTTGTTCCAATTCTAAATTCATTAATTCTTTGCTTATTCGAAAGATGATTTGACATAATTTTAATTAACTTTCCAAAGAAAATTGCAATGTCTTTTAACAATAAAGTTTGAGTCCACATTCTTACTCAACTAGGTGCAAATTTCACATTGACAACATAATCACTTAGACTAAAAACTCCTGATGTATAGAATCTATTTTTCTAAACTATATCTACAATAGCTCCCAATATGTTATTAATAACCCATTGTAATCAGTTATTTACTTGTAATAAGGTGTAAAGTGAATCAACTTACCAATTGTTAAGGCGTTTTTTATACTTCATGTATCTTGACTTGTTGTAGCAACTAAATATTAAATAGCTTTATTTATTAATTATTATTTTTTAAAAATAGTAAATAAAAATAAAAAATCAAAGGTTAAATCTATCAAATATTGTTAGTGATTTATATTTTATATTTTATATTTTATGTTAAAGTCATACTATGTATACAATATATATATATATATATATATATATACATTGATCCTTATACTACATATTTATAGCTCATTAAAAATATCAATAAATATAACTCATAATATTTAAATTATTTAATATATTAGAAAAGCATGATATTAGAAAATAATTACGTGAGATATTATTTAATGCAAGTAATGCATGAGTAAAGATACTCAGGTTTTATTGAAAAACATCGTTATTAATTTTGTTAATGTATTGATGAAAAATCAAATTTAACACCAACAAGGAGAATCCATCTATCAAGGCATTATTGTTGAGAGCTCTCATTGTTTTGCTTACTTTAATCAGTGTCATCTCGGACCATTTTCATCTATAATCAATTATCTGTACCAAATCCATTTCAATTGTTTTATTATCCACAACAGCCTCAATTAGTTTTGCTTAAAGCATTTGTTATCTTTTTAATTTGCTCTATTTTACACTTTTTTTGTGATTGGCTACTCCATAGCCAATGTTTTAGAGATATATCCATAATTCTTTTTGAAGGCATTGGCATTTCATGTTGTTGAGCAAGATATAATTCTTTTGTTTCTAAATATATTGTTAGTTTCTTACCCTCTTTATTTGAATTATGTACTGATTAGTATGATGATTAGTATGATGATTAGTATGACTGATTATGCATTCCAGGTTGGAGTAAAGCACACGACATGATGCATGAACATGTGGATATCATGGAACCAAAAGTCAATTGTGTCTTAATTTGTTGCTATTGAGTATTTAATATCAAAGTGTGGTACGAATTAAAAATAAAACACAACATTCCAACAGGGAGGATTGATGGATTGATTGAGCTTACATCACTTGAAATGCCAATTGAAGGTACATTTTTAAAAATCACTAAATATCCAACTCAAAATAAATTAAAATCTCTCTCTCTCTCTCTCTCTCTCTCTCTCTCTATATATATATATATATTTTAAAAAGCATGCACAACAAATATTAAATCCAGATTTATATTTCCAAATAAATAGAATTCGAAGTAGGTATGACAGCAATGACATTATGTAACCTTCATTTTCATTTTTTTAAAGTAACTTAAATAAGTATGCATGCTTTTATTTTATTTAACGAAAATATTTATTTGTTCATTTAACACGTTGAATTAAGATTTTTTTTGTTTACGTGGAATCATTGTTCGCAACAACCCACCTTGTTATTTTTTAAGAGCATGACTTACATGTACGCAAACTAATTGACTTTGCCCTCACCTAATACTACACAACACACATACAAAATACAAAATACGTACATATAAGTACATACGGTAATATTGTACGTTATTCTTTGCAACCCCATTCAATCATTGAATTCCATCGCTTCCAAAACCGATGAGAACTGAACGAACGAAAATACGGATGAATGACGCCACCCGCGACCGACAAATGGATGAAAATGGAATAAATGGATGAATGAAGAAGGGATCCCCTGGTCCGCTCCGTTTTTGTCTCCTCCGGTGGCCAATTTTCTTGCGGCTTCATAGACTCGGCAAATCCCTCCCTCCTAATGGACAAATTTGGAAAACAAAGTAACGAACAGCTTTCATCCATTCGACTTTAATTCAGTTCCGTCCCGAGAGGTGTCTCTTTCTTAAAAAAAGGCGGGCCTGGGAGTGGAATTCAAAAGGCGGGCCTGGGAATCTCCTCCTCGAGGGAGGGGGGAAGGGAATTAAATTAAAACCTTGAATTTAGTAAAAGGGAGCGAAGCCTGCCAGGAATTGCTTCTCACCCCATCATGGTGCAACAATGGACGGCCTGGATGCAGTGGGGCGGAGTCATTGGACGGGCGGGATTGGATCCCCTCTGGAACAGCGCTACTTGTGTGTGCATTTATTCACGTCTCTGCAGTGCATACCCTTGAGCTGCTCCGCCTGCTCTGCTGCTGCAATTCTGTGTCACCGAGGCTGGAAAACGCCGCACAGGAACAACGCTGGAGTGAGAACCAACACTGCCCTAAAGGTGAACTTTGTCCCATTGATAGGCTCGCAAAAGCAGCAGCAGCCGAAATCACCGGAAGGCTTTCTCTTAATCAAGCTCCGTTGCTGCAACTGCGGATTCTTCGTCGTTTTTGTACTTTGCTTGGTGTTGACATAACAGAACGGGGGTTTGAGACATCTGGAACGACTGCGACGACAGTCGATTTTTGGAACTGAATACGAAAAGAATACAAAAATAAGCGCTGTGAATGATGTGTGGTGATGTATTTGTGACTTGATGAAGGCGAGTAGGGCCTATGTGAAGGCGAGGATTAGTTTGTTTGGTGGAGAACTAGTGCTAATGTTTTGACTAGTTGATATCGTTGTCGCTGTTGTTTTTAGTGGAAGAATGATCCGATTGCAGGGGGGAAGATAACTCATGAACAGAAGGGAAGTGTGTGCGAGAGGTAATCCGTGTCCATGCTGATGCCCAGAAAATAACTCCGGCATCATTGCACAGGAAATGAACCATGGCGTATCGTGTAAACTACCGAGCTGCAGACGGGGTGAGAGACGACAAGATGATGTGATGTGCGGGGAGTAGAAACCGAAGGTCACACGGAAACGGCCTGGGAGTGGTAATGGAGTGGGTGCAAGGGAAAAGGTGCAGCACGGGCGTTGAAATTTGCAAAACCGTGGTGGGTGATCAATATTTCTGACGGTTCCCCGAGGGGACACCAAATAGGCACCCCAATGTATGGTAGCATGACAGAACAGGTAGGCTTTTTCAGTTCCTGCTCTGTTATGTCATGATGGACAAGTAATGCGGCGTAAAAAATAAAAAAACATTAAAATAAAAAACAAAGAGAAAAGAGTAGAAAAAGACAAATACAGAAAACACATACGTACCGGGCATTTACGTGCAGGGGGAGGTAGATCGAGAGCCCTGTGGCGTCTGTGCGTGAGATCATTCCTTCAGCGCCAGCCTCTCGTTTATTGTTGCCGTAGTCCCGAGACTGGAATGGAGAGTGTTTTTCGTTTTTCGGGGGTCGGGAGGGGGGGGGGTCTGCTGTTTTGTCGTGATTCTTTTTTCACTGCGAGTGGACTTCTAAAAATAATAGGGGTTATAGTTGGGATTAGGAGTGCAATTAATGCGGGAGGGGGGAGGGTGGTTCGAGGCTGCTGGGAAGGGAGTAATAGAGATGATGATGGTGGAATGATTCATGATGGAGTGGCGATCTAGAGACTCTGGCAGGATCGATCGATTGTCTGGCATTCATGTAATGGAAAATGGGAGAGTAGAAATGGAAAAGCGGATATGGCGATGGTTTTTTTTGTGCACTGATGTGGTCATCCTGGTCGCGGGGTTGAGGGAGTGATGCTCCACCAGGTGGAGAAACTCTTGGCTGTGATAGGTGCCACTGTATAGATCCGTCTATGGCACTGAAACTTATGAGAGTCGTACTGTAGAGTTGATTCTCTGTCTCCCGCGGGCCATCCTGAATAAGCAAAAACGCCAGCATCGTCGTTTGTAAGGTACCACCCCCCGGCGTCCTGCCTGCCTGCCTGTTGCCCTCGTCTCTTTCTCCTACGTCGTGCGTTGGTGCGAGAGGATCTCCGCGGAGTAGCAGGGCCTGCATTTGGACCTTCTTTACCCTTTTCTTCTTTCTACATTTCCTATTGTTTCCGGGTCAGGGCGGTGCGTTCGAATGCATACATCTCTGTTGCATCATCAGTATCATCACCAACGCTACCTTCTCCATGCTATTACATGACAAAACTTTACTTTGTTCGCTCTGTTCCATGCAATCACTTTTGCTTGGTGCGCTGAGCCTTCTCCCATCACCTCACTCACGGTCTGCAAACACCACAGATCGGTCTTCCTGCTGGCATGATACTGAGACTCCACACGCCTTCTCTCTTTGCTTTCTTTTCCAGCCTCCTATGTTGCGCCGTTCTTGAATCGATTCTGTGATTCCCTGCGATTCCCTGCGAGGCTTTTATTCTGCGGCGGAGGAGAGGTTGAAGCGTTCTTGCTTCCAGAGTTTGGGTTGTGGAACTGTCTGGAGCTGCGTTGATTTGAAGGGTTTTTGGACGGAATTCCGTTATTTTGGGTGAGATTGGTTCGAGCTGAAAGCGTCGTCGAGGTTGAAGGCGCTCCTGTTGTTGGATATGTTGTCGAGGCGATGATCGGTACATTGAGGATGTCCTCTTGAGCGCGGTTGCTCGTGTTATGCTACTGGACTCTCCTCCTCGCATTAGTTTGGTAGATGATCATTACGCACATAGCATGCTGTCTCGCGGTTCGCAGCCCAGGTTAATGAGGTTGCGGGATAGTGTGATAAGAGGGTTACGGATTGGGGTAGGGCCAGAACGACAGTGACTCCTGTGCCTCACTTGAATTTGAATTCTGGAAATCGGGAGTTGCAATCCGCAGATCGATTAACAGAGAATCGTTGATACTACCGAGGCTGGTTGGGGAGAGAAGTAGGAGGTGAAAATGCACGGTGCTGTTGAAATCAAGGACGGGGAGGGTTCGCCGGAACATGGTGAGAGTAGCTGCAGCGAGGCAGGCACATCAGATGAGGCCTTTGGAGCACATGCCACAGAGCTGCATGTAGAGACAGGACTCCAGAGGCAGGAGTCGGATACCAGTCCGGAGGATGGAGTCGAAGCATATTCCGAAGGAGACATTGGGGCACAAAGTGAAGATTTCAGGTACAAGTTTCAAACTTCCTGTCTCAGATATCGTGCTTTTCAGGAACTTTAAAACTTGAATCCTTGATGCTCGGAGGCGGGCACGATCTAGTCGTTTAGCATCGGCAATTGCACTCATCGCTTTTGCCGGTAAATGCTGGGAATGTACTGGAGATTTGGAGACTGCCTCTTTGTTTGAGTTCGCCTCGGGGTTATCGAATAGGTTACGTACTTAGGGGATCTTCGTGAACTCCCATAGCAGAATTGAAGTGATAGAGTTTTTGCTAATGTCGGCGACCACATGATGAAATTGACACATCTGAATTTTCAGTGCTGTTAGAGAATGCCAGTTATTTCAGTCTATTCTGCCCCGACGTGATATGATGGTATTGGCATCAGTACTTAGATGCCGATTTTTTATTTTTATTATTTTTTTCAATAATAATATTATTATCATTTTTTATGTCTCGAGGGTTGTCATCTTTACGCTAGTATCTTGGAAAATTCTGATTTTTCTTCAAGGTGACTTCTACTTGCGTTTGTTTCTATTTGAGCTATTGAAACATCACTCTCTGAACCTCTGTGGCCCATATAGTACACTTGAGCTGAATCTTGAGAAGGTTCTAAAGACCATTTTTCCGCTTTTAAGACTAGCATAGCTAACTCCATTTCTTGTGTTTCTGCAGTGATCACCATGGTCAAGGAGATGCCCATTGGGAGCCACGAGAGGCCCTGACTTTTAACACCAGTCTTGCATCTGCGCACACTTACCTTGGAGGTCTTGGAGGTGTGTTCGGTTTATACTCGGTGCACAATATCTTAGATGTCAAAAACCTGAACCACCCGATGTCCTATTCTATTTATCTCCCTATACCGTGATAGATCGTACGGTATTTTCTTTCTTAATCGTGTTATGGTATGTGCCGAATCCGCTCCTGTTTGGGATTAATCATCCTTTGGCAGGTTGAAGCCATCGCTGCTTCTGCTTATTTGCCACGTGAATGCCAATCAGTTTGAAGCAAGTGCATTCAGACCTTTCGAGTAACCGTTAGTGTGATTTTACAGATGTAGAGGATGTCGGGAGCGACGGGTTCAATGGTGCAGGTGGAGCTGTGCTGAAACTACCCATGTTCTACTTGGAGGGTATGTTGCTGTACACTGGTTTCTCTAAGAAGTTTACTCTCGTGCTGTGCACTTCTGTGTTAGCAAACATTTAGTCAACTAACGGGTTTAGCGTTGCCCTTCAGGTATCGTTCTGTTTCCGCATCAGAAGCTCCCGCTTCGCGTGCTTCAACAGCGGTTCAAGGCCGCTGTGTCTCATGCTATGTCCCCGGTGGGCAACGACGCGTTTCAAACACTAGGCGTGGTAAACTGAACCTAAGATTCCTTACAGCTATGTCCCTGTCTCCGTAGATTTGATTCACCATATTCTGCTTTAGGCTCATTTGATTAGACACCGTGCCTCATCACTGCTGAAAGTGCGGATCTATGATGCTACACGTGATTTTTCTTTTTGTTTATTCGTTTAGATTTTTCCTCCTGACGTTGTTTCGAACCTTTGGCGTTGATACAACCTTTTTTTTTTTTTTTTTTTTTTTTTTTTTTCCTCTTCTTTACGTTATTTGTCTTTTGATCTGGTAGATTCATGTGCGTGTCTCCCGACGTGGAAGGATTCATGTGGCGAACTATGGAACAACTGCCAAGGTCTGAATTAGAGGAACTCAAACATGTGAATTTTATGTGGATTGAATGACCTGCTATTTCATGTTTCGGAACTCAAGCCATTGTATCTGATCTTGTGCTTGTCGTGTCTGGCTTGTGATTCAGTAAGCCATTACAGTTTCGAATTGTGAGGAGCTCTTGCAAGTGTCTCCCGCTGTGTATTGTCTAGTGCGCATGGGCTGTAAAGTTACTATTGTTTTGCCCAGCAACCAGTTTCTTTAGTTTTAATGTGGAGCGGACGTTTAATGAAGTAGTATTTGTAGTAAAGAAATTTAAGTAATTATCTCATATGTTTTTGAAAATTTGTATTGTTTCAGATCTGCAAGGTTAAAGGTCAGAGAGATGGCTCTGTCAATGTGATGACGACAGGGAAAAAG